AAAGAACAAGGCCAGAAACGGGCCAAAAGCAACTATTGCATCACCAGCAGCTGGAGCAGCAAAATTCCGAAACCAAGTTTCAGCCCGATTACGCCTGTCCCGCCTGCATGCGCCATTGGCCAGACCCCTCTCTCCCCATTTTTGCTACGAAACTACATAAAACATGCGGGGTTCACCCCCAGCTGCAGACAAAAGAGGAAACCGGCCAGCCTGCATCTTGCGCACTGCTGCTATATGCAGTGGCAGCTGGCCTGGGCCGACCTAGCTACCTAGAAACCTGGAGTCCCCGGGCCCTGTGCTGTCCCTCAGGGTTTTGTTATCCCCCGCCTCTTCTTCCATTGAGGAGCTGATAAACATGTATTTGCGCCGTACAGGTCTAGGTTCATGTCCATGTCCATGTCTATATCCCCCGCATCCAATATCGGATATGGGCACCCACACTGCGTGCAACTTGTTTTCTGTCTCCTGTCTCCTGCCTACCTACGTACCAAATGTATCATGTGGGCCTGCAAAAACATACCCCCCGTAAAGGAACCATCCATTCTTGGCCGTTGAAAAAAAAAAAAAAAACCATGGTTGATTCTTTGTTTCTAGGCCCTGCCTCGGGTGTGAGTTAACGTGTGCACATACACCCTTTCTGATTCTGATTGCGCAAGGCACGAAGGGGAGGGAACAGTGACCGAGCTGGTTAGCATGCGGAGAGAAATTGACATGGAAACGAAGTCTAGCTCAGCCTGTGCAGTTGAGAAGGGCGGGGGGGATTATTTGTTTTGTCCCCTCTCTCAGGATGTGTCCGATTCATTCCTTTCAACCAAGCAGATACCTGTGTGTGTGTGTGTGTGTGCATGAACTGGTGGCTGAGAGGACCAGGTGTCCTTCGCCCGTCTCCGTTCTTCCTTTTGCAGCTGGGGGCCCGGTGGCTAGACGTCTGTCTGTCTGCCTGTTTCTTCCTTCTCTTCACGCCGTGGAGGAAGCGGTGTGGTGGAAAGATGAGATGTGCTTCCGGGGCCCCGTTTCCGTTTTTCTTCACCTTGCGTAGACCTGTGGGACGTCTGCTGATATGCCAGGGCCCAAGTCAGTGTGATGGATGATAATCTAAGGATGAAAATGAATGATTGTGAAAGACAAATGAATGAATGAATGAATGAATAAGAAAAGGTAATGTCGATTTTTCCCCATGAGCGCGCTCCCTTCTCCCCTTCCTCCCACTTCATCAATCTGTTCTGGTTTTTATTAGCAAATTTTTGTCACTGTTTTTCTTTCGTTTGTCTTTAACCACACCCCCCCGTTCTCTCTCGTGTGTGTACCATACATAATCTGATCATTTATTATAATGTATTATAGGATGTCTTCCTCGCTAAATAATTGAACTACCATAGAATCATTGTATAAAAACTCCGTACAGTAACATGAATCGCCATTGTTTCTTCCCCCTAAGGGCCCCCTTCACCCCTTCACGACCTGTGGCGGGCCCCTAGTCACGTTTCATTATATTATATTAGGTATCTCA